GTCGATTATTCGGCCGTGAGAGTGAACGAAGAACGGGAGATGAAAATTTTGTAAACGGGCTTTTTGTTTTCGAGGGAATTAATGAAACAAACAATCAAATGAAAAAACGACGATGAACTCGGCGACGAGCGAAAAAAATATTAATAAATTTCGCGAGAAAAAAAGAAAAAAAGATGAGAGAACAACGAAACGTTATATTGGGAAATGTTATTGAAATATTCGCGTTAACGGAAACAAAAAAAAAAAAAAAAAAGAAAAGAAATTAAAACACTGAACAACGTCTGAAATAACTGGTCGAAGCTGGTATGCGACGGGAGATATACTCGATTCGCAGAGCTGCGGAAAAATTTGAGAAATTCGTTCAAGGCGAGTCTTCGTTCGAGCGACTCTCTCGTTCGCGAAATTTCTCGAAATATCTCGAGGAGAAAAGAATTTGTTCTCGGTGGCAAATATTTTTCGAGAGCAACGAAATGGAACAGAGGTTACTCCGCAATTTCAATGCACGATCGGCAGCGGCGAAATGGGACGCAATTTTTTTTTCGAAACTCGATCCTCGCGGAACGCTCTGCGTTTCTAACGTTGGAATTCAATTATTTCCGCCACGGCGGCGAGCAGCCCTTAGCTACGGGGGAAAATGGAGAATAATACAATTAAGTACGAGGCTATTTTTTTTCGTTTCGTGTTAAATCGATAAAAATGCAAATATCTCCCGACCGAGCTGAAAGTCGGAGTTAAATTAAACATTAAAAATTAGAAAAATATTATGATATTAGCACGATGAAAGTAAAAATAAACGAAACAACGTATAACGGTATAGATAAAAGAAATGTGACGTTTCATTAACTAGAATTCACGATGAACGAACGTTGCAAACAACCTCCACTTTTCGTAAAATAATTTTCCAACAGCCCTCTTTGTAAGAGGCGACTGATCTAGTTCCATTTATTAACAGATTAATTGACCTATTTCGTACGTGCGCCGATAGAATTAACGCCACAGTTACTACGTACGATTCGCCGGCAAACTAATTGCTTTTTTACTCTTTTTTTTCTCCCTCCCCCTCCTTTAACGTCGTCAGAGAAGAAAAATGATAGAAACGAAAAAAAAAAAAAAAAAAAAAGAAGAAAGAAACCAAGCCAAAGACCATCGTAAATCTTGGAAAATTAGTTTTACATCTCGATCGAGAAGTTTCCCCCTTTGATTCGAATCTCTTCGCAATTTTCCTCGCCACGTGAACTCGGCTCGGCAGCCGAGAGAGCTCTTGGAAAAAAGTTTCCAATCGAGGAGAGGCCAGGTACCGAATTAACTGGCAATTTCTGATCCATCGACTGACATCTTCCCTTCCCCCTAACCAGGAAGAGAACTACGCTTCCTCCCGAACGCGGTCGTTACGAAGTTTCCCCAGTTTGGCTCGGCCGACATTTTATTTCGTTGGATCGGCTTGGCCGGATCGTCGATCGACCGTTGAATCGAGCACGGTTTTTCGGGCAACTCGATGACGATGCTCGTTTTCGTCGAAATAGAAATCACCTGGTACCTGCGGAGGCAGTCGAAAAGTCGTCGAGTTCAGATTTATGACCGATTCGAGAAGAGATTTCTAGTTATTACGTTTATTGTCTTCTTTATCGTACGTCGTTGGAAAATCAAATCGAATTCCTGCGCAAGATGTTCGGTTTCATCGTTTTCGGCGAAACTTTCTCGTTTTCTAGAAATATCACCGACGATTTTTGGTAACTAAATAATTCCTTCTGTAGGTGATACAACAATACAAACTTCAACCTACGTGATTTGAAAATAATATAAATAAAAATAATATAACAAACAATATGAATAAATATAAATATGAAGTCATAAATTTGTATTGTAAATGTAACGTAAATGTTAATTTAGAAATTAACGGATACCGAAGAAGTTAGAAGAATACGAAAGGCGATGGCAAAAGATATTAATAGCTCTCGCTAGATTCTGATACCACACTCGCTATAATTTTTATATTTTCTCAAGGTCTGTACACTCTCACGACTCGTTACTCTCTGATTCTGTATGATTCCGAGAACTGAAAATACGTATATCTTCTGGATATTATCTGGCCAACAGGTTTGCGTCTTTTATTCAAAAAAAAAAGTGTCGTCGCTTGAGGCTGTCGTTCGTGATTCGACGTCGAAATATTCGTTCTCGACTGACAGGGTCCGGGGCAGCCAAGGCCAAACACAGAAGGCTCTTCACCGATTCCAATTGCGATTCGCGTGCGCGCCTTTGCCGCCACATGCCAGCGGATTTATTCGCAGAGAGAGAGAGAGAGAGAGAGAGAGAGAGAGAGAGAGAGAGAGAGCGAAATGAGATCTGTTTCCAAGGCGTAGATTCTTTGCCTCCTTGGTCAAAGGAAAAATTAAATCTGCGGCCGGCTCTCCTCTCCTCCAGCCTTCGTCTCTGCCTTTCAATTACACACTTCAAAGCTCCACAGCCACGGATAAATAGGGCGACTTCTATTGTGGAAAAGCGAACGCTGTTTCATCGTGTTTCATCTCGGCTGATCCGATCCCCCTACGAGAGGGGGCAACATCTCGTTTATTTGCGGATGCTCGATTGTCAGGGGAGAAACGGCGAGACTTCTCCAAGATCTCCACCGTAATCTAACACTCGAGGGCTGAATTCTTCGTGTCGAGTTGTTATCGCTCGTGCCGATCGTCGACACTTTTTTTGAATACTCTACTATGAGAAAAACGAACGACGAACACTTCTTCGATCCTTTCCTCGGTTTCTCAATTCGGTAAACTATAGGATACAGGTTTAGGTTAGGTTAGGTTAGGTTAGGTTTAGGTTAGGTTTCTTTCAGTCTCGAGTGAAGTGGAGCTTCGAATAAAAAGACGTCGTTTACAATAGAGGCGACTGTGTTTAAATCGTTTCTATTTAGTATGTTATTATGTTTATTGTATGTTATTACTATATAGTATGTTATTATGTTTATAGTATGTTATTATTATTATATAGTATGTTATTACGTTTCCATTTATTACTATATAGTATGTTATCTGTGTGTTATTATTTTTTTATTTATGGAAAAATAATGTAAAAACAATGGAGTTATAAATTATAAAAACAAAAAATAGTTTAATTTATTATAGTTTCTATATAATAATAAATTTATTATGTTTTTATTTATTTATGGATATGGTTATAAGTTAATAAATTATAGAAACAGAAAATAGTTTCTATTTATTATTATGTATTTACGGAAAAATAAATAAAAAACCATAAAGTTATAAATAAATAAATTATAAAAGCAGAAAATAATTTCTATTTGTTATTATATAGTTTCTACATATTATTATGTTTCTATTTATTTACGGAAAAATAAATAGAAAACCATAAAGTTATAAATAAATTATAAAAACAGAAAATAGTTTCTATTTGTTATTATATAGTTTCCACATATTATTACGTTTTTATTTATTTATGGAAGGAATGTCCTCGACGAGACAATCGATACGGACGCTTGTCACTAATTGATTTTATAATTACGTGTATCGTGTCCGATGGATACTGTGTCGTCGCTATCGTAATCGTTTTGCAGCATTTTTGCTTTTCGTTTATCGCCCTGATCTGAACACCGCGTTGCACGAATTATCGCAGTATGAAATCTAGCAGTCCAAATGTAAAAAACGTATCGGATTTCTTTTTTTTTTTTTTTTTTCTTTTTCCTTCACACAAGCAGAGTTCCACGGGCTTTTCAACCTTCCTTGGGAATAATTTCCAAAGCACGTTGCAAAGTGCGGGACGACTCTGAAGAGGAGGATCGACGATAGGATCGACCGAGAGATCGGGGAGCGATGGTCGTGCACAGCAGGGTAGAAGTAGCAGAGTGGGAGGAACAAAGCGCGCCAGTGACAATGGGCCGTCTATAGTCAGACGCGCTTTGCATCTGCTATAACAGCCCCTATTCTTCTCGGCAACTTCAGATACGCGCATTATTTGGAAAATAGCCCGGCGAAAGTTGCCCGGCTTAATAATACCTTAAAAAGACACTCGGACGTTTAGCGATTCCAGCGGCGTTTCGTTCGATATCTTCGTTTAGCGAAAGACGCGGCCGACATTCTTTTTCGTAAATGTGCGAAAGATATACTTCTAAATGGAAAGTATATTTGTATATTTATATAATAAATATCATTAAATGTAATAAATATTTTTTCTAAATGAATTTGAAACACGAACTATATTTCCAGTATTGTTCGCTACATCATTTGATTGTAAAGAAATTTAACGTTTCAACATTTCGTTCAGAGTGAATACGTTCTCAATTGTTTGAAATTTAACACGTACACAGTTTTCAACTAAACAAAGCAACAAATTACAACAGAGCGATAATCAAACGATTGTAATTAATCTAAATTTGTCGAGAATTGAAATTCCTATAAAAGTAGTTGTTAATCAATAATTAAATGGGTACAATTTCATCAATATTAAATTAACAATACGCAGTATAGTATGATTCTATAATATCGTATCAATACATATTGGATATGTATTTGTTATTGAATATAAAATTTGCCTAACTTTGACCGAAACGATCATAGTGTGTCGAAGTATCAGTGTCATATACTGCTTGTTTTGTTTCACGTCTCAATTTCAAGAATTGGTGGGGATAGTGACGGACGCTTAAGTGGGCACTATTGTGCAGAAATATTGATATAAAACAGAAATAACTTTTGCAAACACATGTTTCCTAAATTTTCTGTTATTTCATTTGGAAATGTAATCAATGTAATTAACCTACCAAGAAAGAAAATAAAAAAGATTGAAAATGAACAAGTTATTCAACTTTCTCAAACTCTTCAGTTTTCCTGTGGCCACCTTGTATATATATATTGTATCCTTCTATTATATTTATAATATTATATATTTAATATATATTTAACAATAGCTGGCGATAACTAGTTAAACTTAATTTCCAAAAATTTTGCACTGAGAAATACGAGACATGTTTTTGGCTTGGTTTGTAGGAGCAAAGTGGCGGCCGCGCTTTTGAACAAGCATCTGCAGATCAACGGGATTTCGGCGGGTCTGGCCACGCTGCCCACCGTGGATCAATCGTCGCCGGATCCACAGCCCGAGGATCCACCGATCACCAACAGCAGCAAAATGAGGAGGGAACGAAAGGCTGCGAGAACACTGGGGATCATCATGTCGGCGTTTCTGGCCTGCTGGCTTCCCTTCTTTCTCTGGTGAGTCTTTCGTTCGTCCTTGAACGCTTGAGAAATTGCCAAAAATTCCCGGACGCTCGTCAACACGTGACGTCATGTCGTCGCGTGACAAATCTTTGTTATCGCATTCGGCGAACATGATAGAACCAGGCAAATTTAATAAAAAAAAATGAATGAAATTTCCAGATGATTTTCGTGACAAACAAAAAAAATTTGATTGTCCTTTTGATATTTATCGAGTGTAAATGCGTTTAATAAACAGGATGGAATACGATGCTTTAAATTGGAAATTTCAAGGCAGTGGGAGTGATATCAAATCACGTTCAATCAGACATTTGCGCAAGTGTATAATTTAATTAATAAAATCAAATACCGTATAGTTCGTTTCGATTGGGTTTTTTTTTTTTCGTTTTACTGAAATTTCATCGTCATCGTTCATCCCCGTATATTTGTATTTATTAATTAATTTTTCGAGAGCGAATTTTTAGAAGCAGTAATTGACAAACATATTTCGAGCTTAAATTTGTATCGCTCACGGAACTTTCAATTATCTTTCGAATATATTTTGAAGGTTATCGTAAAATTTAGATTCGTGCAGGATCTAGAATAGAATCTTCGAAGAATTTCTTTTTAAACATACAAAATCCTTATCGAAAATACCGTGCAGAAAATAGTGATATACTGTCTGATTTTTGAACATTTTTCAAGTGGCAGGAAGCCGCGGCTTCCTTATTATTTCTAATCGAGTTAAGTTCGTTTTAACGAGATCTAGGAGAACACAATCCAAGTTTAAGCGACTTCTTGGTAATTAGGAAAACTCGTTTGAATATATTAAAACGCGTGGAACGAGCGCGATTAAACGTGGCTTTTAACGACTTCGAAACTAGCTCCGCCAAATTAACCGGAATGCGATCGACGACAGTCTCTTCTCTCTTTCCCTCAACGCTTTGAAAAATTACATTTTGTCCAAAAGAGCGTAAAGTAACAGAAACACATCGTACGAAATAATTAATAAAATTAACATTATACGGTCTGTTCGTTCAGAATATTCCCAAGGAAATAAAATTTAATTAAAAATGTCCGGGTATAAACGTGACAGGTGCATCGCAATTTTTCACGAGGTGAGAATTCTTCTTTCTTCTTTTTCTCTTTTGTAATGAAATAATAGCTTTCCAATGATAAATTATTCGAACGAATATACGTTTCACGTGCACGTGGAAATAAATAACGAGTCGTTGAGCCGTTAAAAGCGAACGTGTCACCGTGTATGTCAATGGATCTTTTCGAACGATAATAAACTCCGTCGGTGATAATCATTTGCAGAACTTTACTCACAGAGATAAGCGCGAAACCTTTGGCACGTGAAATTCAGTTTTCGGCTCTTTAATGTCGCGGCAAACGAGCTCGTTGTTCAAGCTCGTATCAATCGAGCAAATTCGCCGCCAATTTCGAAGTGAATTTTCATCTGCCTCGCCGACGCGACCGGAGATTCAAGCACGAGAGCTCTCTTGCACAAACTGTACAATGGTTTGTAGATTGGAAATTTTCAGAGAAAGTGTAAACGTACGCGTAAGCTCACTGATATTATCGTGCGAACAAAGCTGAATCGCCAGTCGTTAATATTTGTGACATTTTTAACGATGGATCTTTTTCAATAGTCTTCGCGTGTCTCCACTCGATTTCTTCGATATTAAAAAAGTTTTGGAGAGAGCAGGACAAATAATAGGGAACAATTCAGCTAACGTATCCAATTTTTACTTGCTATTGATATAAGAAACTTGGCGTTCGGCTTGTTGGAAATACGGTATCTTTTTTATTCACTCGAATATCGTCATTTAACGATTACGTTTAATTTTTTAGTCGAAAGCATTCCGGCGTGGTAGAAGAAACAATCGAACTTCTTTAATTAAATATTTGCAATCGCTATGTTTCTGCAGGTGCCTTCGTTTATTGATTCACGATACAAACGTGGATTTTCTCTTTTACCACGAATTTCTACGAAATTTTATTCCTCTGTCAATTTTCTTTCTTTGTCGATAGCTAACTGTAATGGGTGGAGAGAAAAGTTTGTCCGTGGCATAGATGAATTCTATACCTTCGATTTGATGAAAAGACATCTAAAAAACCTGTCGAAAAATTGACTTCGATCTTGAATTTCAAAGTCAAAATTTGTTTCTTTTTCTTTTTTGCATCGTATTATTCTACTCATCACGAAGATAAAACTTTTTTAATTAGACTAATAGTTCTTTTGAAAGATGGCAAAAAAGATTCTTCATCATTTAATAATGCGTTCTAACAGCGACTTTATGGTTCTAGACGCGTGGATGTCTATGTTACGTAATGTTTATACTTCGGATAATGTTAACGGTTAGTCGTTTGATTACTCAGACATTGATGCTACAATTATGACAAATGTTAGTGAAACCTAATATGATTTTATTATGTAAAAATAAAGTCGCTGTTAGCACGCGCGTACCTCTAGTGTTAAATGATTAAGAAACTTTGATCTTAAACTTCAAGCTCAAAATTTCTTTTTTTTTTTTGCATCGTATTATTCTACTCGTCACGAAGATAAAACGTTTTCAATTAGACTAATAGTTCTTTTGAAAGATGGCAAAAAAGATTCTTCATCATTTAACAGTGCGTTCTAACAGCGACTTTATGGTTCTGGACGCGTGGATGTCTATGTTACGTAATGTTTATATTTCGGATATTATTAACGATTAGTCATTTGATTACTCAGACTCACATTGATGCTACAACTATGACAAATGTTAGTAAAACCTAATACGATTTTATTATGTAAAAATAAAGTTGCTGTTAGCACGCGCGTATCCCTAGTGTTAAATGACTAAGAAACTTTGTTCAAAAGAACTATCAGGTTCCTTGGGAAAGTTTCACCTTTGTGATAAGAAGAAGAAATTCTTTTTTCACCTTGAAATTCAAGATTAAGGTCAATTTTGCAGATACTTTTACACGTATCCTCATCGAACTGAAGATGATTGTAGAATTCAACTGTGAAAGATACGCAAAAACAAATTCACGCAGACTGTTCGTCGTTTGTCGAGAATCAACAAACTCCGCGATTCGGAGAAAGGTCGGTAGCAGGTCAATAATCAACGGAACTCGATTTGCTTTTACAATTCAAACTTTATCATTCTCCTCTGAAATTGAAAGATCTCCTCCTCGAGGCCGCTCCGTGGAAATTTCAGTACCGGCCTTTAAACTCTCGCTCGAACGCCATAAAGGCCACTTTTAAAATAGCGGGACGAGGGTGGAAAGTAGGTCCTACCGGTTCACTGGAATTTCGATGGGCCCATCGCGCGCTCGAGTGCTTTCGATATTGCGGCGGATCCGAAAATTCCTAAGGGCATGGGTGTAGCATGACCGCTGGTGGCTCGGGCCTGTGTCGGACACCGAGGCTTGGTAGGGCTCGATCGATAGTGTCTCGAGGGCGAAAGAAGCCAGCATGCTGCCTCTTACCGCGATCTCAAGGTGGTTTGCACAAGACTCCGGACTCTAGTCGTTGAACACAGAATTGCAGACAGTCCCCCCACGTTTCGTGATATTGCGATTGCTCCGCGCCACGACCGTACTAACCAGCTGATTCGCTTTCGCCTAATTGGTCCTGATGCCTCTTTCATTTTCCCCATTTTCCGCGCGGAATTTTTCGTCAGATTCGGACGATTTTCGAACGAAGATCTGCTTGTAACAAAATTTTGCGAATATAAACAGCATGCTCTTTAACCCTCCGACTATTGAAGCTAAGGCTCCGGTGCTGGGTCATTTTGTCCTCATATCCTACTAATACATATTTAGGGTTGTCCGGACGGCTCACCGATACTGTACATAGTGTGACGGTTGCTCGAGACCGAGGTCCTCACTGATATTGTATCAACACAGTGACAGACACCCGACTCATATAGGAACATGTAGGAGTATAAGGAACAAATAGTAGTCATATGAATAACATTTAGTAACATATTTACTATACATTTATGTCATTTACTGTCAGGAACGTCTTGTGCAAATTGAGCGAAAGAAGACAAAGAGAAATTGCTCGTTGGCAATGAAGACATTGCGTCAACAAATAGAAACAACGGAAAAAAGTAATAAAAAGAACAAAAATAATAATAAAAACAGTAAATTAATAATAAAAATAGTAAAATATTAAAATAGTGCTAAAAACTAAAATCTGAATAGTAAATACAAAAATAATATAATACTAAAGTACTAAATACTAAATAATAAAATACTAAATACAAAAATAGTATAAAATACTAAATACTAAATACTAAAATACTAAAACAATAATGAAAACACTAAAATATGAAATAAACTTTGAAATAAAAAATTACTCCGATTTGCTGCACACGTCTTTCTTCCTCAGAACGTTACCAGAAACTGATTTTTTTCGTCTTTAGTTATCGTTACTTAGGCAATTTGGCAAACACATGGCGCACAGTCACATGATGTTCGTGCGTTAGTGCGATCACTAACTTCCATAACTAACACAAACAACTCCCAGCACAGGTCAAAACTGTGACTCCGGCACAGGAGGCGGACGGTTAATCTGTAGAATATCATGTTTCGCCGATAGATATTTCTAAATTACATTTTACAGAAAATCGAGCTGGACTTATGATTTAATTGAATTCTCGAGTGAATAGTCCGCAAACTATTTGCGAGACTATTCGGACAATTTTGGACGAAGATTTGTTCACAACGAAGCCTCGCGAGTATATGTGTTTGCTGGACTAACAACGAGCAGTTTAATTAGATGTAACGGAATATTATGTTTCTTCGATAGATATTCCCAGACGGCGTTTTCCAGAAAATTACAGAAAATTGCAGAAAATCAAGCTGGACTTTAATTGAATTCTCGAGTGGACAGTCTGCAAACTATTTGCAATACTGGATCAGAGACAATACTGGATCTTTCAATAAAAATGAGGAATATTCATAACGAATTCTCGCGAGCATAACATCCTCTCTAATTTGTAGAATATTATGTTTCTTCG